GCAGGAAAAGGTTTTCTAATGACGTCTCACTGCGACGGGGAGGAGGTAAGTCTTCACGATGCCAGCTACAGAGACTCAGTGTTGATGCATATGCGAAATCCACTCCACCAGGTATGTAGTAGGGAGGGTTTTCTAGCTTTTTCGCATCTTCTGCATAAGGGACTTGGTGATCTGGTTTTTCTTCAGGTCTTGTGGGTTTTTTTCGCCGTAAGAGAGGAGGTTTAATTTATGGGGGAGATACAACGGCTTTTCACGAAGGATCCGTCTGGTTTCTCTTGGCTCGTTTGAGACTCAGACAGAAGAAAATCGGGATTGAGTTATATTGGTGCTGCTGAGGTAATGGTGAGTTTTGGACTTCGAAAGAGATGGGATCCATCACAGTTGTGTCCGCTGTAGTCTACTCAGTGGCTGGGATTCCCAGCTTTTCTCCTCCATCAGCCATTACTATTCAAAGCGGGAAAGCTGTGCTGGCTCGGGATCTCCCAGCTATTGAAAAACACTATTTACGAGCAGTGCTTCAGCATTCGTCCCGTCCTGCCATTTCTCTCATTTCTCTCTTCTCCTCCTCGCTCTAGAAAGCAGCAAGATCACTGCGAGGCAGAGACAGAGATCCTGCAGCACGTCCTCCGAGCAATGGGCGAGGACTGTCGTGCAGAACACTTGCAAGTGTAAGAAATTCAGACAATAACAATTCCCAGATGCACCATGTCCGCACAGGTGCAAGTTTTTTGTTTCGCATCATCTGTGCTTTCCGAGCCGAGCGTGGGTGCGGACTGAGGATGCACGTACCAGGGCGTTCGACTGGGGTCTCTTTTAAGGACGCGCACAGCAGGACCTTCGGGCTGTTCCCTTCCTCTCGGACGCTGCGGTTCTGAGACATGGACTCAGGGTGTCACTGTTGGCCAAGACGGAGAAGCGGCTCCGCCACAGGCTCCTCCCCGGCGTCCGCGCAATCCCCCTCCGCACGGAGCGGAGCAGGGAGAAAAGCAGGAATTGCCTGACTCAGCCTCATCCTCCGACCAGAAGAAGGGATTTCATATGTTTATTTCTCTCAGGTGCTGATTCAGCTGCTCGGAAAACCTAATTGAAAGCCGCCTGCAGAATCCGCTTCAGCAAAGCAGAGAATGGCAGGGGGGGGGGGAGCAGCCTCCGGGCGGGTCGCGCTGTTGGTTGTGCTGCTGCTGAGCTTGTGCTCCGGATCCGCTACGCCAGCCCCGGGGAGCTGGGCAGAGGCTCGCTGGTGGGGCCGCTGGCGCGGGACCTGGGGCTGAGCCCGGCGGAGCTGCCGGCACGCAAGATGCGGATAGTCTCTAGCGACGAAAAGCAGTACTTCACTCTCGGGGAAGATAATGCAAATCTGCGGGTAAACGAGAGGATAGACAGAGAGAGCATCTGCGGGGCCGTGTCGCCATGTGTCCTCAGTTTGGAGGCATTCGTGGAAAACCCTTTCAATATATTTCATGTGAGCGTTACTGTCCAGGATATCAACGACAATGCACCGCAGTTTGACAGAGAATTTGTTGCCATAGAAATGATCGAGTCGACACCCCCTGGGGCCAGATTCCCACTGGGCAGTGGAAGAGACCCCGACATTGGAGCGAACTCATTACAAAATTACCAACTTACCCCAGACCCGCACTTCTCCCTTGTAGTGACGGAGAGTCCTGATGGGACGAAACAAGCTGAACTGGTACTGGAGAAAAGCTTAGATAGAGAAAAACAGAGAAATCACCATTTAATACTGACGGCAGTGGATGGTGGGAATCCAGTACGCTCAGGGACCACTCAGCTTAAGATTAACGTGACCGACGCGAATGACAACCCCCCGGTATTTACCAAAGAAATCTATATGTTTCAGCTTCTAGAAAACCTGCCAGAGGGCTCCTTAGCCTTTCAGGTGAAAGCTACTGACAGTGACGAAGGTACAAATGCAGAAATAACCTACTCTTTCAGTGGCATCGCTAAGAATGCTCTCCAGGTCTTCAGTTTGGACTCCAGGACAGGGGACGTGAAGGTTACAGGTCCCTTAGATTATGAGGAGGGGAAATATTATGAAGCAACCGTTGAAGGCAAGGATGGGGGTGGTTTGACTGCGCACGCCAAAGTGCACATAGACATTCTAGACGTCAACGACAATGCGCCAACTATTACTATCCTTCCAATCTTGAACCCGGTACCCGAAGATTCAGAACCGAGAACAGTTATAGCAGTGATCAATGTCCGCGACAGAGACTCGGGCGACAACGGAAAAGTGAGCTGCAACATCGACGGGGGTTTGCCTTTCAGACTAGAATCGTCATCAGCCAACACCTATAAACTAATAATAGCCAGTGGCCTGGACAGAGAACAGGTCTCTGCTTACAACATCACCATCACTGCCAGGGACCGGGGCAGCCCGTCGCTGTGGAGCCGCGCGGCGCTGGTGCTGGAGGTGTCGGACGTGAACGACAACGCGCCGGTGTTCGAGGAGGCGTCGTACAGCGCCTACGTGGCGGAGAACAACGCGGCGGGCGCGCTGGTGGTGCGCGTGCGCGCGCGGGACGCGGACGCGGGCGCCAACGGGCGCGTGAGCT